AACAACAACAACAACAACAACCCAAGCTCCTTTTATTCAGCATAGCACTCATGTAATGCAGCCAGGACTCAGACCTAGGTTGGCTCAGGTCTACAATCTTGATTATACCTCTTCTCCCACCTGGGGTCCCCTTTACTTCAGTGACAAGACAAATTGTTATGTTGCTGTGGGTCTTGTTAGGGACAGAGTGTCAGGAACACATTAGGGCCCCTGGCTTCATATCTGCCCCTTTGCCCTGAGTCCTTTCCTACCAGACAGGGATCTAGAAAAAGGGAAGACAATTCTATTCCAATAGTAACCTTGAGAGGAACTGCCTGCAAACAGAGATAAAGCTATCAGTTCCTGAAACCACCCAGACAGAGAGAAGCAATTGACAGGAAGGACTTGGCTGACTGCACAAAATCAGCACCTGGAGCTAACAAGTGCAAAAAGCCCTCCATTTCCAAGAAGTCTGCAGCTCTTTACTAACAGTCAAATGAAGATTCAACATGCCCTCTTCCTATTCAATGTGTATGAGCCCACTCTTGGAGAAGGAGACCCCATACCCTTCTAAGTGAGTGCACCCCAACTCCACAGTGTCTTATCCACTCATGGAGACAAACCTACTTCTGTCTCTGCAGTCTACTTTTGCTTTGCAATAAAGAGCTTCTGAGTGAGTGCTTATTGTCTGTATGTGATTGAGAAGCAGTGACTCTGTGGGATGAATTATTTAGACACCACACCCCCACCCTCCAGAGTGAGAGGGGCCTGGGAAAAACGTGACAAACACTGGGTGATGTTTCAGTCCTTGTAACTCTCTTCCTATGTAGCTTCAAAACCCAAGGAGTGTGCAGTCCTCTTTATGAACCCCGGGTGCTCCATTCTTTGCTAACAGAAGGCCACTTGCAGGAGTGTATTGCTTTCCAAATGTGTCTCCATATAGTGGAACTTTAAAGAAACCACAGCTGACAACTCGGTAATAAACACATAATAATCAGGGCACTTGACAACAAGCTCCTTCTTGGAGAAATAAAGGTGTAAACGAATGGATCAGTGTATGACTGAATCCTACTTGGTCACCATTTTGTAACCGTGAACGCTCTTCAACGCCATTGTTAAGCCAAGTTCTCCCAAGCTTTTATAGGTGGTCAGTCCCACTTTTGAAGAAGGCTGCAAATCTTTTTTTTTTTTTTTAATATTTTATTGTGAATTATGTGATAGTTTACATAGGAGAACATTAGTTTTACATTCATTCTATCATATATCGTCTCATTGCCATGGTTACAATCCCCTCCATGCAATCCTTCCCCT